GAATTACTCCCTCCGTCCCAGAGTATTTGTCCACTTTCATTTTTACACACCATCCAATGCACTTCTTTAATCCATTTTATCTTGTAATTTGTATATTAAAAAATTATAGAAATTATATATTAATAATCTATATGTTAAAACAAATCAAACAAAATCACACATAACTATATTTAGGTTTACACATTGAGAGAATTTGATGAGTCAAAGTGCTTAGATGAACAGTTCCAAAAGTCAAAAGTGAACAAATATAGCGGGACAGAGGTAGTATATAACATTAAAAATTAATATGAGTAGTTAACATATTAACATAAAAAAAACTTTGATGTTATAATGTAAATAATAAAAGTATTATATCAAAAAAACATAAATTCTCTATAGTTGATTTTACATACGATATCTTTATGACTATTTGGGATCTCCTAGATGTTTGTTAGGCACTTGACACATATTTAGTATATAAAATTGAACCGAATAGAATACTAACCTTCCGTTCGGCATTTTTTTGTGTGAAAATCAAGCAAAAAAAACCAAACCCAAACTTACGTATTGTTATTGCTTCGTCGAGTTAGTATTTAGATAATTTTTAATGCTAATAAGTATTACTTTTATAAACCAAAAAAACCGAAAAAAACCAAAATAAAAACCGCATAAAAACCGAACCGAATAACCAACGGTTTACATATTTTTTATGCAAAACCGAACCGAACCGCCAACTTACCTTCCATTTTATCTTTGGTTTTGGGTAAAAACCAAACCGTCAAAACCAAACCCACCCCTACTTCACATGGACAGATTTGGCCTCCAGTGGACCGCTCCATCTTCATAGGTCCTTCACATGGACGGATTTGGCCTCCAGTGGACCGCTCCATCTTCATAGGTCCTTCACATGGACGGATTTGGCCTCCAGTGGACCGCTCCATCTTCATAGGTCCTTCACATGGACGGATTTGGCCTCTAGTGGACCGCTCCATCTTTATAGATCCTTCACATGGACGGATTTGGCCTCCAGTGGACCGCTCCAACTTCATGGGTCCCTCAAATGGACGGATCAAGCCTCAGGTGGTCCGTTCCGAGTTGTATAAGTTGATAAAAGTAATAATGTAAAAGAATAGAAAGCAGAGGTCAGTAATTAGATCAAGTTAGGTGATCGAATTACTGGAGAATATAAAGCAGATGTCAGCAATCAGATCAAGTTAAGTGATCAGATTACTGGAGATAGTCATAGATTCCCGTACCGAGATTGAGGAAAGATAGGAAAAGGAAAAGGATTGGGGCTTAAGGATGGGCTGAAGCCCAGCCCATTAGGAACAAGCTACCCAAAAGGAAGGAATCCTATGAAAGAGATTAGAGTAGGCCTCCCCTCAATTAAACAGGGACGAAGAGAAAGGTGGACGGAGATTGTCTATAATTCAATAAGAGCGGAGCGCCCAACCACCGTCAGATAGATATCAGGTGAGGGTTTAGAGGCTCCCAAAGAATATTGAAAAAAGAGCCCGAGCAAAGTCCTCTTCCCAGAGGCAACAAATCCCCGAGAGAAGTCTTCTCCCAAGAGGTACCGAGCTCTGAGAAAAGTCCTCTTCCCCGAGGCACCAAGTCCTCTTCCAAAGAGGCACCAAGTCCCAAGAAAGTCCTCTTCTAAGAGGCCCAAATCCTAGAGAAAAGTCCTCTTCCAAGAGGCACCGAGTCCTCTTCTCGAGGAATTAAAAAGAAAGAAAAGTTCTCTTCTAAAGAGGTACAAAGTCCCGAGAAAGTCCTCTTCCAAAGAGGTACAAAGTCCCGAGAAAGGCCTCTTTCAAAGAGGCACGAGGTCCCAAGAAAGTCCTCTTCCAAAGAGGCACAAAGCCGAGAAAAGTTCTCTTCCAAAGAGGCACAAAGTCCCGAGAAAGTCCTCTTTCAAAGAGGCACGAGGTCCCAAGAAAGTCCTCTTCCAAAGAGGCACAAAGCCGAGAAAAGTTCTCTTCCAAAGAGGCACAAAGTCCCGAGAAAGTCCTCTTTCAAAGAGGCACGAGGTCCCAAGAAAGTCCTCTTCCAAAGAGGCACAAAGCCGAGAAAAGTTCTCTTCTCTAAAGAGGCACAAAGTCCCGAGAAAGTCCTCTTTCAAAGAGGCACAAAGTACCGAGAAAGTCCTCTTCCAAAGAGGCACAAAGCCCCGAGAAAGTCCTCTTCCAAAGAGGCACAAAGCCCCGAGAAAAATCCTCTTCCAAGAGGCACAAATCTTTGAGAAAAGTTTTTCTTCCAAGAAGAATAAATCCCTGAGAAAAGTCCTCCTTCAAGAGGCACTAAGTTAAATCCTTACCCATGAGGCAACGAGACCCTCCTAAAAAGAAAGTCCTCTTTCCGAGGTACCAAGAAAAGTTTTATCCCATGAGGCAACCCACCGAGTCATATAGTTTTGAATCTGTCTCGTTCCTCGAGACAGACTCAAAACTAGGGGGCATGTGATGGATTAGGGATTTTTCCTAATCCAATATTATTTGAACAGTACAAGAAAGCCCAATTTTATCTGGCCCAAGACATAAATCAGATAAATTATTCAAGACGGAACCAGAGATATATGGACAGAAGAATATATTTGAATTGATGTGAAGACATTTGGCGGGACCTGCGGAACACTATCACATGGAAACCACATGGGCTTCACATAGACAATGTCCCCTTTTGTCTCCGTCAATTATTCCCTTTCCCCCTTTAAATGCAAGCTACGATGAGGAGGGAGGGGGAGGCCAAGGCCATCTTCCTACACGTTTCACTACTATTCTTCAATCTTCTTCTTCTTTTAGCTTGGAACTTCATTAATGGCTCTAAACTCCTACAATGATGTAAATGTAAATTCCTCTGAGATTAATAAAAGTTCTTCCTCTTTGGCATGGCACCGCCTAAAATGGCCCGTGGTTTTTTCCCGATTTGGGTTTCCACGTATAAATACTTTCTCCACGCTTTATTTATTTATTTATTTTCCGGATTTTGCTATTCGGTGCGGTGCCGACCCGGTACCGAGTTCATCAGGTCGACGCCCCGAAAAAGCGGTTTCCATCATAACTTAAAACTAAAATTAATATGGTATCTCTAACATAATATCTAATCAAAGATTTAAATTTTCTTGTCTAATCTCCTCCCCCCCCCCCTCCCCCTAAAGCTCAAAGCTTTCCCATTCTTTTTCACTTTCCTTCCTTAATCTTATCACTTCTCTTACACCACCATTCCACCCATTTCTCAATTCATACTCACCTTCGCTCTTTAGTTTTGTTAGTAACAAAATAGTTTACTCACTTTATTCATCCCATATTTTATATGTTAAACTTTTGTTCAATTTCTAAATATAATAAATTTAAGACATGAGATTTTTTAATTTTTTAAAGATGGCAATTCATTTTATGAGGGAAGATCAAGTAATGTAATTATTTCAAATGGTAAGTTAAAGCAAAGATTCAAAAATATAAAAAGGTTGTTAAAAGGAAAACTTAGTTTCAAATTTTATTGATTTAGTTCTAATTGATTTCAGACATTATCGGTTTCGAATTGAATCAGTTTCAGGGATTATCGATTTCGGGTTTAAAGAATTTGGATATGATCGATTTAAGATCTAATTGGTTTCAAATTTAAATTGGATATGAATTATATAGTTCGATTTTCGTTTGGTTTGAATCATTTCGATTATACATCAGATCTTCCTTTTTCAGATCATTTTGGTTTTGATTTCGAATAACTTGATTCGAATAATCGATTGCGGTTCTGTTTTTCCAGGTCTAACCTGGCCCGACCCCGCAGGTCTAGTCTATACCCAAGTTGCATGAGTACAATTTTGAAGGATGCCAAGACGTGGCAAAGTAAATCCAAAATTGATTACCGGAACCAAATAATCCGAACCAATTATAAAATTATCCAAAAAAACATAATCAAGATATGAGATTATCCAAATAAAAAAGAACCTAATCAAATTCAAAGAACACCCAAATTCAATTTGAAACCATTTGATCTCAATCACAACCGGACCTGAATGGTATCCGAATCAATCAGGACTAGATCACAAAACAAAATGAGAGGTGTTTAAAATGTGCATTCATCCAAACACATGATGTTCTCAAATGCTTTGCAATAAAAGACTACATTTTGCAAACAATGAAACCAGGAGAGAAAAACAATTGCAAAAATGTGGGTCTTTAGATTCTTGTTTTGCCACTTTGTGGGAGAATAGGAATATGTGTAATACTAACCTTCATCTGATAGATCCATGGGAGATGGAAGAAACCTTGCAGACCCCAGCAGATGTGGTGAATGGAATATCCTTGTAGCAGGCTACAAAGTCGCTGTTAGTGTGGAGATCCACTTGAAGGGTTTCCCAAATCTTCTTCTTGGGGTTCAACATGTCGTCCGGCTTTCCTTGGAACCCCAGAAACGTAACACGTTCACCAACACCAGCACCTTCGGGTGGTTCAACCAACTCAACCTACCACCAACCACAACCATGAATAAAACGAACAAATGCCGTGGCTTCAGAAATAGAGACATGAAATGAACATCCCAATTTAAATCGCCTGTTTCGATTTACGATGTTTAGCTGGCTGAAGTTATTTTCAGTGTGATTTATTAGAGAATTGGAGCGGGATTAAAAACTAAGCTCTGCATACTAAAAAACTACGAGTACATTAAAGAACTCTACGAAACAAGAGGTGACATGACTATATTAATTTATCAAATGAGTCACGAAAATAGGAAAAGAAAGTGGATAGAGTTTGACCCTATGAATACTAAACATGCAACCAAATTTGGGACGGAGGAAGTAGTACACCATGTAATTGTGCACAGTGTTCAGTGTATTTTAACGGTGAAAGTAGAGATCGCCGTGTACCTTTGTGTCATCATGGCCTGAGGCAGTAAGAAGCATCGCTTGAGATTTAATACCTCTCATGGTTGCAGGCTTCAGGTTGCATAGAACACAGACCTTGCGGTTCTGGCAAAGATACCACTGTTAGCGAAACTATGTAAAACATTTGATCAAAAGAGTAAACACATTAGAAAATGAAGAAAACCTGCATCTCTTCAAGTGGAATGCAATTGACTAGGCCACTAACAACAGTCCTTGGTTGCGCTTCTCCAACATCAATCTCTTCGACATATAAAGTATCAGCATTAGGATGCTTTTGTGCTTTCTTGATAAGACCAACACGGATATCAAGTCTGCTAATTGATACTTCTACTTCACCAGTGGCAGGTGACATGGCCTTCTTTGGTCTTTCATCTTTAAAAAAAAAGCATCACAACTAAGCCTAGAATTTTGCCATTATGTATAAATAGTTATACAATGGAAATTTAAAAACGAAGCTGCAGATATCCAACTATGGTTAACTTTAAATTTAAAAGCTAAAACAAATTTTCCCGATGTTATCAAGGTTTTGAAAGGCGAAAACTATCCTCAAGGCAGTGGAGCAAAATGCCTTGAAGCGTAAGCCTCGAGGCGGAACGAGGCGTAAGCCTCAATTCAATATGAAAAAAACAATGCTAAAATATGTACTCCGAGGTAAAACAAAATGCATAATCCATTTTCATGTTAAATATATGATAAAATCATAATTCCTGAATTTTACAAAAAATGATACCATATCTTAATTCATAAAACAGAAAAAATAGAATTATAAGCATTAAAAACAGTAAAATAAAACAGAAATGTCTCAAATACATCTTCAAACCTTATAAATATTAAATAGGAACAAAAGTTCATGCAAAACAACAGTTATTTTATTCTTTGAAGTTTGAACTGAATTCAAAAGAGAGAGAGGGATGCTGGAAAAGAACTGAAAAAATTAAAAGTCAAAAGTAAGAGACGAAAGAAATACTGCGTAGAAGATAAGCAATTAAAATATGAAGCAATTGCCTTAGCTGCTTCCGCAAGAGAGAAGATGTGCCAGTGAAGTTTGAAAATGGTGAGAAGTACGGTTGAAGATGGCGAGACGGAAGTTATCGCTGAAGTCTGGGAAAGAAGTGTAAACTATCTACTAGGATTATTAAGTTTTTCATAAGAAACTATACAGTGCACATGCCCAAAAAAGTTTATGTAAAAAAGGTCCAA